TCTAGAGGTCAGAAGAGCCACGGTCGGTGTGGCAAGTGTGGGAGATTGCACGATGGGGCATGCAAGGGAGGGAGTCCCGGTTGCTACAAGTGCGGCCGGACCGGGCATATAAACAGAGATTGTACAGCTACTCCCACCGTTACCGCGGTATCTGATCTGATTTACTTCCATTGCAATCAGAGGGGACATAAAAAGTCCCAGTGTCCGAGTTTGCCAGCATCAGGGAAGGTGGCAGCACCTGCCCCTGCAACATTGAGGATTACAGACGGTCGTTAGGGCCGAAGTGAGGTGCCAGTGGCGAAGAGTAGAGCTTTTCAGATGACAGCAGAGGAGGCGTGAGCGAATCCTGATGTGGTGACGGGTATGTATCTTCCCTTCATCTCTTTATTAATGTTGATTGTTTCTTATGGTTATATATTTTTATATAGGGTCGTTCTTAGTGAATGACATATCAGCTACAGTGTTGTTTGATTCGAGGGCTACCCGATCATTTGTTTCACTTGCGCTTAGCAAGTGGTTTAGTAGAGCTCCGAAGGAGCTGGATTGTCCACTTGAGGTTGAGATAGCTGATGACAGGACCGTTAGGGTCGCGAGAGTACATAGGGCTTGTTCGCTGCAGCTATTTGATGAGCAGTTTTCAGTGGATTTGGTTCCTATTCCCCTGCAAGGGAATAAGGTTATAGTGGGTATGGATTGGCTGAGCCCCAATGAGGCAGTGATTAATTGTGAGCTACAGTTAGTGAGGGTCTGCACCCCTGTTGGGGGAGAATTATTGATTCAAGGCGAGAGGCAACAGCGCGGACCGATTCTTTGCTCGACAACAAGAGCTCAACGCTACTTCCAGCAGGGTTGCGCGGGGTACGTCGCCTATGTTTTGGATGCCCGGGAGAAGGGCAAGGCGACTGTTGACGATGTACCGATAATGCGAGACTACCCGGACGTATTCCCAGTGGATTTGCCTGGGATACCTCCGGAGAGACAGGTTGAGTTTCGGATTGACCTGGTTCCGGGTGCGGCTCCGATAGCCAAGGCGCCGTATTGGTTGGCTCCTCCATAGATGCAGGAGTTGTCTACGCAGCTGCAGGAGCTGCTAGACAAGGGTTTCATCAGACCAAGCAGTTCACCATGGGGAGCCCCGATCCTGTTTGTGAAGAAGAAGGATGGGTCGCACCGTATATGTATAGATTACCGGGAGTTGAACAAGGTAACGGTGAAGAACCGTTACCTACTCCCGAGGATAGATGATTTGTTCGATCAGCTTCAGGGAGCATCTAGGTTTTCCAAGATTGATTTGTGCTCCGGTTATCATCAAATGTGGGTTAGAGGTGAGGATGTTTAGAAGACAGCTTTTAGGACCCGTTATGGTCATTATGAGTTTGTGGTGATGCCGTTTGGGCTCACCAATGCTCCAGCCGCGTGCATGGACCTCATGAACCGTGTATGCAGGCCGATGTTGGATCGGTCTGTGATAGCGTTCATTGACGATATCTTGGTTTATTCCAAGACTCAGGAGCAGCATGAGGAGCACCTAAGGGAGGTGCTAGAGACTTTGAGGAAGGAGAGACTTTTCGCGAAGTTATCCAAGTGCGAGTTCTAGTTGCAGGAGGTGCAGTTCCTTGGACACCTCGTCAATCAGAAGGGGATATTGGTGGATCCAGCCAAGATAGAGGTCGTGATGCAATGGGAGGTCCCAAGGTCTCCATCTGAGATTCGGAGCTTCCTAGGGTTGGCAGGGTACTACAGGAGATTCATCCAGGATTTCTCCAAGATAGCAGTTCCACTTACCCGAATGACTAGAAAGTCGGTGGTGTTTTGCTGGGGGTCTGAGCAGCAGGCAACATTTGAGACACTCAGACAACGATTGTGTGAGGCACCGATTCTCACCCTGCCAGAGGGAGTGGATGATTTTGTAGTCTATTGTGATGCTTCGATCACAGGGATGGGAGTAGTGTTGATGCAGCGAGGGCATGTGATAGCTTATGCCTCTAGACAGCTGAAGCCTCACGAGGCTAACTATCCGACGCACGATTTAGAGTTGGGGGCAGTGGTGTTTGCCCTCAAAATTTGGAGACATTACCTCTATGGGGTCCGCTGCACCACGTACGCGGATCACAAGAGTCTGAGGTACCTCATGGACCAGCTGAATTTGAACATGAGGCAGCGTCGATGGTTAGATGTGGTGAAGGACTACGATTATGAGATCCTTTATCATCCGAGCAAGGCTAACGTTGTAGCCGACGCCCTGAGCCACAAGGCGGTGACGGCACCGATCAGAGATATATGTCTGAGGATGACGATGATTACTCCATTTTTGGAGCAGACTAGAGACGCAGATGTCGAGGGATTGAAGGAGGAGAGGTAGAAGTGTGAGAGGATTGTGGGTCGAGTAGCTTCTTTCGATTTAGTGTTTATGGGATTTGTAGCCGGGGAGTTCTGGAGCAGCAGTCAGGCAGTTTCAGATTTAGCATCTCGGCAGCCAGCGTTACGAGGTGAGTTTCCTTCCAGTAGGAATGGGTCTACGGCCACAATGCCGACCCGTCTAGCTAGCAGTAGTTCTGGAATTTGGTCTGATGCAGTAGTTCAGTGTGCTTGATGTCTTTGTGATTCAAGCTTGTCTTGTGTTATGTGTTCCGGACTTGGGTCCGATGCAGTATGCAGTATATGTGTTTATGCTAGTAGTTATGATTATGCTATGCTATGTTCAGTCAGTTTCCGGACTTCGGTCCGATGCAGAGGGCAAGGCCCTGGTTAGTCCCGGACTCCGGTCCGATGCAGTTTCAGGACTTCGGCCCGATGCAGTGGGCAAGGCCCAATATGTGTTTATATGTTGTTGTATGGTATGTGGTAGCAAAGGGAAAAGCTCGGGTTGATGGCATCACACCCACCATAGCTTCAGTTTTATCCTGGGAGTTTTATTTAGACATTTTGTTATGATTGATACAGTTTTGTTTTGACACCGTTACTATGACTTTTGAGTACTTATTCCATGGTTCTTGTTATATATGATATTGGATGATGTGATTTTAGTAATATTAAAGAAAAAAATTTTGGGTCGTATTTTGGGTTGTTAGAAATGCCAATACAAAGTCCTACAAGGGTTTGGTGCTCAAAGTCTAGTCTCTAGATTAATAAAGTTCAGGTCTTTGGGCTCACAAGACCCTCAATACTTCATATTTGAGGTTTCAACCTCAAATCATACACAAGAAAGCTCAATGACTCAAACAATGGAAGAAAACCCTAGAAAACTTCCCATATCAAGATCTCCATAGAAAAAGAGCAAGTCAACATTTTTTACCTCAAGCAACTCTGTTGAATCAGAGGATCCAAAGCCTCCTCTTGCCCCAACTTCAATACTCTTCACTTCTCCTTCCAAGAATGCACTAACAACCACAAATTTAGCTCTTCTCTCACTCTCTAGCTCCAATGACGATTAGGGTTTTCACTCAGGGATGAAGGGTAACTGGTGAGCCGCATATGGGGCTATAAGTGCCCTTAAATAGTTCCCAAACCCGAGTATTTAGGGTTTCACCACTCAGCGTCTACTAGGCGAGTCGGCTCTCGGACTCGTCGAGTAGACCACTAATCCCACGTGGCAAACCGCGGCTCTACTCGACGAGTCAGACTCACAACTCGCCGAGTCGCCCAATAACTCTCAAAATAAACACATAATTAATATACCTAGGTTTCCGGATGTTACAATTACATGAATGCCGATTGCTTTAGTTTTCAATGGATTAATGTTCACATATTTTTCTAACATACAACCATAAGATAGCTAATTCAAAACAAATATTTATAGGGTTTGAAAAGATGTTGTTTCACAACAGTTTAAATTATAATTATAATTCCTGTTAGCATAATTCAATACATAAAGGCATAATAGCATACAAATCCTTAAGTTTGGAAGAAATGTTCGGTTTTACACTTTTGCGTATATATGGTTCATTAAAGTCATAAATTTTCAATTTTTTTTTTTTCAAATTTACCATGTTGCATATTTTAGGTTCCTTAAAGCCTTCAAGTTTGACATAATTTTTCATAAACCTGCGAGAATGGTAAAATTGAAAAAATAGTTGCGAAGCTTCAACTTTAATGAATCGTAAATACGTAAAAAGGTAAACTGAACATGCCTGCAAAACTTAACTTTATATCATTAGGCCATAAATAACTATAACATATATATTTCCGCCCGAAGAGGTTGGCTAAAAAAAATAAAAGACACCTCATATTGCAATATGGACATCAATTCCAAAAAATCAATAGGGAGAATCCAAACAAGTTTCGATGGTTCAAAAACTGCTATCTTTTTACAGGTTGTTGTTGCAAAAACGGATACCCAGTAACGATTGTCCGTGTTTTTGCTTTTGAATGCAAGAAATATAATCAAAACCAAATCAACAAGAAACTATAAAAAATCACGTAGTGTTGTCGGGTGGTACCATTAGGCTATATGGAGTGGTCACTACAAACTCACCGGAAAAGTGGTGCCACCTCTGCGCCACGTCACCTTCACCACCAACCCACTCCATTATGGAAATGGTCACCACTAACATCATTCACTTTTTTATTTTTTTATTTTCTTAACATTATGTTAAATAATATATATATATATATATATATATATATATATATATATATATATATATATATATATATATATATATATATATATATATATACATACTATGTTATAATTCAAATAATAATTATCCATTCTTTAATTTCAGTATAATATACTTAAAATTTTCATTTAACACCTCCATTGTCTAATTATTAGTACAATACACTTAATTTGTTATTTAAAATATGGTGATATATATGTGTGGGGCTGAGGGTTTAATTTAATTTAAATAGAAGTATAAGGGTATAATAAGAGATAAAAAAATATTTCCAGGGACCATAGATGTAACTTCAATCAAAAAGTAAAGGGAGGAAAGCGACGTTGCTGCTGCTACTTATCTCCTATTGGTCGTTTTGGTTCGTCTTTGCACTCACGGATACTCACGCCACGCCCAAGTCACCAGCTCTTGGGGTGGTGTTCACGGGTCTTTTGGATGCCATGTAGGCGTTCCACGCGTGAGTTTCTATCCACTCCGGATAGCCTTAGATAAAACTATAAAAGTAGTGCTTGAAGGTCATATTTCGGACCCAAAAAAAACATAGTTTTTATATATTTTTATTTCCAAAACAAGACAATGAGTAAAAGGTTTCACCTTTCAATAAAGAAAACCAATTTGAAATAAAGTCAAACTTCGTCAAAAAAGAAAAGTAAATCTTGAATTCTAAAGAAATCTGCAAAATCTTGAAACACATTCTTTTCTTTTCCCTCCCCTGTACCTGAAACTTCAAATCTAACCTACCATCCACCATCATTCCTCCATCTCAAATCCTCTGTAACACAATCGGAACCCAAATCACTGTATAATCAATTTCATGAAAGATCCAAAAACCCTAACCCTAGATCCACCACCACCACAACCACCGCCGGCCTTTTCCCTTTTTCCTACCCTCAACCCACCACTAAAGACCCTAACTTTCCACAAAATCTCCACCCTTCTCATTACATTCGTTGCCTACGCCGCCTTCCACGCCTCCCGGAAACCCCCCAGCATCGTCAAATCCGTCCTGGGTCCTGACCCCAATTCACCACAAACCGGATGGCCGCCGTTCAACTCCGCCCGCGGCCCCCACCGTCTCGGCGAGCTCGATCTAGCATTCCTATCGGCCTACGCCATTGGTATGTACTTCTCCGGTCACGTAGGCGATCGGATTGACCTTAGGGTTTTTTTAACAATTGGGATGATCGGTAGCGGCGTTTTCACTGTACTTTTTGGATTAGGGTTTTGGCTTGATGTTCATTCGTTAAGCTATTTCATCATGATTCAAATTTGTTGTGGAGGTTTTCAGTCGATCGGGTGGCCGTGTGTGGTCGCCGTGATGGGGAATTGGTTTGGTAAATCCAAAAGAGGATTGATCATGGGTGTCTGGAATTCACATACATCCGTTGGTAATATCATCGGATCCATCATCGCATCATCCGTTCTAGGGTTCGGTTGGGGTTGGGCATTTCTGTTGCCCGGAATTCTCATCGTCATCATCTCCATTATCGTCTTCTTGTTTCTTGTCGTAAATCCCGAAACCATTGGTCTCAAATTACCCAGCGAAGAAGAAGAAGCAGAAACAGAAATCAGCACCGAAGGAATGGCATTGGTAAACCTCCAAAAAGTAGACTCAGAAGAAGACGATGATGATGACGATGAATCTACTTCAAATAGCGTTGTTTCTTCTTCACCTGCAATTGGTTTTTTAGAGGCATGGAAGCTCCCCGGAGTAGCACCATTTGCATTTTGCCTCTTCTTTTCAAAGCTCGTTGCTTACACCTTCTTATATTGGTTACCCTTTTACATTCGTAACACAGGTAACCTTACATTCCACCATTTTTGATTTTTGATTTTTCAACATTAATATCATAATTTCAAGATTTATTGAATTCATCTTCTTAAACTTACCTTTCGATTTTCCATCATCAGCTGTTGCTGGTGAACAATTATCTCATAAAACAGCTGGAATCCTCTCAACAATATTCGATATGGGAGGAGTAATCGGCGGGATTTTGGCTGGATTTATTTCCGATCAAATCGAAGCTCGTGCAGTTACATCAATCATGTTCTTGACACTATCAATTCCAACCCTAATTTTCTATCGATTATATGGAAGTATTTCAATGTTCAACAACATTTCATTGATGTTTTTATCTGGGTTACTTGTAAACGGGCCATATGCCCTTATTACAACAGCAGTTGCAGCCGATCTTGGGACACAAACATCGATTAACGGGAATTCCCGAGCCTTAGCCACCGTGAGTGCGATAATTGATGGGACTGGTTCGATTGGTGCAGCCCTTGGTCCACTTTTGGCTGGGTATATATCGACTAGAGGGTGGAATAGTGTATTTTTTATGCTTATATTGTCTTTATGTATAGCGGGTTTGTTGTTGATTAGGGTTGTTAGAAGTGAGATTAAAGGAAAAGTGAATGAAGGGAAATGGCTTTGGTTTAGTGCGATTGCATGTTGAGGAATGGTTTTGTGATTTGAAAGCTGTTTTTTGGAGCAATGTTCGATCACATCGAACATGTGAAACTGCTATTAGAATCTTCATTCTGTTATTCTTCCTACAACTCCTGAGCTGACCCATCATGTAGGATGAAGCATCATGTGAGATATATCAAGTAATTTCAACACGCCGTATAGAGATCGAATGAGTATTTGTGTATTCTTTATTAGCGAAAGATGATTCTTTCTTTTGCATGGGGTGTAAATCCATTCATTGTAATGTACATCTTGTCAGATATAAATGTATCATATGAAACAACTATGTATTGAGGTATCAATTTACTAATTATGATATTATACAATATATATATATATATATATATATATATATATATTAGGGCATTTTGAAAATTCTACAAAATTATTCTAATGAAAATTGTTTTATGTTAAGATGATATTGCCGTAATTGACGTATTTGACAGATTTTTTTTCAATTACAATCTTGTAATTAGAACAAATTAAAGTGAGATGGTGTAATAAAAAAAAAAAACAAAGGAAGAAAATACCTTTTAGAAACAAATTATTAGGAGATATAGTTTTGATTTTACTTGGACCTAATACATAGGCGGATCTATGTAGGAGCACACGACAACCCGTGCTACCCTCAAATGGAAATGTTGTGAGCAAATTTTCCGTTATAGTGTAAATTTTTCAGTGTGTTACCCCTAAAATTTATGGGTGCTAGCCTTGACATTTCATTCTGGCTACGCCACTAACCTAATACCTATTGTATAGGACACCGGTGATTAAGGTATTATTTTCTACATGAATATATTTATAAAACCTACACAATACAAAAATAAATAAATAAATAAACAAAACAAAACAAAACAAAACAAAAAATCAAAAAACTATTTTACCTCTCTAGTTGGAATTTAAAAACTAAGCAACACTTTCGCGTAAATACTCTTCCTAATCCTAACTCTCTCCACCACCACCCGTGGTGGCACCTCCTTCTGAAAACATATAACAACCACCGTCAAATTATCCACCACTCCTCTCTTCAACACCTCCTCCACCATCTCCTTACAACATCGCTTCCCATCATTATGTTCCTCCAATATTCTCCTTACAAAATCCACCGCATTTTGATTCCTAAAAACATCCCAAATCCCATCACTTCCAATAATAAAAACTCTATCTTTTCGAGTTAAAGTGACCATTTTAACCTCGGTTTTAGCAATTAAGGCTACCCGGTATGGGAGACATTTCACGCGTCTTGGGCTGAGGTGGCAGCCTCTCCCAAGCGTGAACACTGTCCCCAAAGGCGGTGGGTTGCATGTGACGTGAATGGGAAGACGGAAGAAGACGCTGCATATGATTGGTCCCTCACAATTTCCCTCTTTCTCTCTCTTTCTTTTTGCCCCCTTCACCACCAGCCCACCGGTAAACACCATTTCCATACCCTGGTGGGTTGAGTGTGGAATGGTGAAATATCTATGTGGCATCCCAAACACCCGTGACCATTCCGTATGGCCTAATGGGCTAAATTTTTCACCATTTCCTTTCGGACCTTTGATGTGAAAGTTTACCTATAGCTCGAGTTATAGTAGGTTGGCTAGGTCCATAGATTTTTCATTCCCCGGGCTTACAAACTTAATTATGCCCCTAGTTTTAATGCTTTTATATATATATATATATATATATATATATATATATATATATATATATATATATATATATATATATATATATTTACTATCTGATAAAAGAAATCTAACTATTTCTAAAAATATATTGATTATAATAATAATATTTTTTTAAGACGTCCAAATGATGAAGCTGATAGTACAAATAACCATTAATAAATAATCTTAAATTTTAACCAAATTTTGAATTCAAATATTTATCATCAAATCTCCTTATATTTCTCAGCAATTTGATATGGTTCCCTCAAATCCCGGATTCATTCAAATTTTGAACCCTTTTAGATATCCTTAAATTTAGCATGTTGATTCAAATATCCCTCCAATCGCATATATCTCTTTGTTCCCTCCTCTGCTATAAAGCCCACCGTTTAGGAACAAAAAATGACTTCATCTCCCAAATAACACCATAGTTTGATTATTTTGTCTTCGACATGTGCTTTCTTTTGTAACATAACATTTTTATAGAGGAAACATATCACCGAAAGAATTTACACGCCCCGCCGCTTTACGCGGGTACACTGCTAGTATATATATATATATATATATATATATATATATATATATATATATATATATATATATATATATATATATATATATCCTAAGTACAAAATACTTCTATTTCACAATATTACATTATTTTTATTATTATTATATGTTCTTTTAAATTGAATACTTGTACCAGCTAAAAATGTTAATGGTTTTTTATGAACGTCAATAACTACATAGAAAAAAGAAAAAAAAAGAGAACCAACAAAAGTTTGGCAACATTATAGGTGAGGAGAAAAAGATAAATTACATATGGACTGTTCTATCCCTAACTACCAAAACAAGGTAAACACATGCTACACCTACATTAAACATAGAAATATGGCCCCAATTTTAATTTTAAAGTTAGTGTCGTTCAAAAGAAAAGAGCAGCCCAAGGACCATAAAACCTATCAAGGCATCCAAAGTTAAAATCTTTTATACAACCTAAGCAATTTTTTTTAAAAAATATTGTTTGACATAGTAGAGTAAATTACACGAATGATTTTTTAATCTTACAGTTTTTTTTCTGAAATGTTCTTTACAAAACTTTTTCCATAAGATGGTTCCCTACGGAACAAACCTTGCACACAAATGGTCGTTACCATTAATATCCGTTAGATTAATCTCTTAAGTTAAATTATTTTTTTGGATAAAAACTATTTCTACTATTGAAACTTGCAGAAGGACCATTTGTCAAATTTTACAAAGGGACCATTTAAAATATTACACTTTTAGTCTCTTATTTTTTCTTTTTAACATTTCGGCCCCTTTTTTTCACAACTTTTTTCTTATATATTTTTTAAATATATAAATAATTTTTGTTGTCTAGATTTTATCTATAATATTTAAATTACAATATATAATTAAATTTTTTCGTTTTCTATTTTTTTATCTAAAAGTACTTGAAGCGTAAAAACATCTTTTTATTACTTTTTAATTTTTATATTATATAATTTGTAATATTTATCTTTATTTATCTTATACAAATATATTTATTTTTATGAAAAAAACATGATATGTTATTATAAAAAATACGTTATTATAGAAATAATAGTATGTTGCTCTTTTATTTTAAAAATATAAATATGTGGTTTTGAGTTAAAGATAAAAATATGTTTCGGTTGTGAGTTCATAATATAAGTACAGTAAATTCTATATTGCTTCGATATAAAATTTTGATATTTAATTAAAAAAAATATTTAGTTTATCAAATTTTGAATATATTCCTTAATAATACATAAACTTTTCAAAGCAAAATTAAAAAAAATATTTGTTAGCTAATAGTTAACTTCGTTGCTACACATGCTAAACTAATTAACCATATGAATAATATGAAATTAAATTCCGTTTAATTCATTTTATTTAATGGAAAATAATTTTTTAATGAAATTAATATTATATTATTTTCATTTAGTTCCATGACATTAATTATGTTCAATTCACTTTATATAAATATATAAAGTATTTTTATTTTCTATTAAATAAAATGAATTAAACGAAATTAATGTCATATTATTCATATGGTTAATTATCTTACCATTTGTAGTAACATACTTGTTTGTTAACAAACTTTTTTTTTTTCGTTGAAAAGCTTATGTCTTATTATAGAATATATTTAAAAATCGATAAAAACTAACTAATTTTTAAAATTAAATATTAAAATTGTATATCGAAGCTCCGTTCAACATAAAATTTAGTGTCCTTATATTATAAAATCAAAACCGAAATATATTTTTATCTTTAACTCAAAACCACATATATATTTAACATAAAATACCAATATACTATTATTTCTATAATAACGTATTTTTATAATAACACATCATGTTTTTTTTCTTCGTAAAAATAAATATATTTGTATAAGATAAATGAAGATAAATCTTAAAAATTACATCAACAACATCTGACACCAACCAAATTAGCGAACACCTTGAATGCCAAACGAAGGAACCATTATGTCGACAGGACGCGCCACACCAACACAACGCTCGTTCGAAGAATTTTTTGGGTTGTGAGAATGAGAAGAGGTTGTTGATTTTTATGGTTTGTCTAATGAAAAGCTCGTCATCAAATCCACCCACTGACCCATGGTTTTTTGAACTCTTAGGGATAATTACTTGGTCACTAAGTAATTATCCTAAAATCTTTGACTTTCAAATAATTTCAATTTAAAAACCTTAAGTCTACAAGTTTCTTATTACCTAATTAAACCTTTAATTACTTAACAAACTAAACACCAAATAATATTCTCGTATCATTAGTTGTTTATTTTTGTCCTTGCATGTAACCCTAAAGAACCCTACTATTAATAATAATATTATTAATTGTTGTGATGTGGGCACTATCTTCCAACAAGGATAGATGCAAAATGAATAATCATTGTTGTTTGATGTTGAATTATCCCAAATTGTTCACATAAGCTTTAAAACTTGGATTCTATTTTGGCTAACCATTGTTAGCTTTGTTCTTAATGTTGGTTTTTAGTGAGCATAGGATACAATACCATTTTTATATTTGGTTTTGCATCATAAAAACCCTATATTATTGGTGTAATATGCTTACATGTTTTTAACTGATTGTCGGGGTTCGTCTCAGATACTATGATTTCTACCATTTCTCTAAATGAGACAACCTTGAGTATTCTCACTAGGAATTCCTTTGTATAACTATATTTTGATATGTGCTCGGATTGAAAACCTTACAGGAATTAAAAGAGAGCTTGGACAATTAGAAGAACACAATGTGTATTGATAGACTTTAGCACTCTATTATGATATTAGAT